ATTATTGACTCTTCCCTTGCTGATGGTGATATAGCACAATTGATAGATTTAAAAATTAATGAAGCTGATGAGACTGAATTTGATAATGTGTATTATGCTATTAATGATGGTGAAGAAGAAGACCCATTTACAATACCAAACTTAGATACTGTACTTTATTTTCAGTATTCAGATGCTATTGATGACTTTAAGAAAGCTTTGTCTGATCAGGCTGTTAATGCCTGTTGCAGCTGTGAGAAGTTTTTAAGAAGAAAACCTGTCACTGAAGTTAAAAATTTAGATAGCCATGTATGGAATATCCTATTAGATTACATTAGAAAGAATGATCCTACGGCAATAAATAAAGTTATGTACATTTCTAATCATTGTAAACCTATTATTAGGAAAAATAAAGTTCCAGCACGTTGTGTACTCAATGGGTTAAAGTGTGAGTCACTACCCAAAGAATTGGAAAATTTGGATCCTTTAAGTTGCCAGTTAATACAGAGAGTCAAATGTTTTCAGACAATTGTTAGGCTAGGCACACACACCTTAAAAGTGCCTACCTATAATTCTTTGTAGGCTCTGAAAGGTGCAATGTTTTATTTACCTCTTCCATTTGAAAAAACCATGGAAACTTTAAATGAGATTGGTATAGATTCTAATCATTTGCCTAATCCAGAACTTTGTATTATTATTAATGGACAGCCTACTAAATCAAATTATGTCTGGTGTAGATTAGTTGATGTAAATAAAATAAAGGCAGCACTGAGAAAATTAAAAGAAATAAATTGGCTTCATAGAAACATAGATGATGATTGCATCGACGAATCATCTAAAAATATTATACAAGTAGTGAGCAATACTAATTGTAAAATGCTTTAAAAGGCAAATGATCAAGATTTAGAAGGCCTTTCGGCATATATAATTAGAAATCTTGATAGTAAAATTGCAACAGGTTCTGATATCAGTCAATATAAATTAATGAATGTAAAAGTAGCGCCTATAGACAATAGGCAAGAGCATCTTGATTTGTTATGCTTTCCTACTTTATTTCCAACTGGACAATATGGAGTACATCATCACAGACAAAACTATCCAGCACAGACTTTATCATTTAGTGAATACATAAAATCAAGACTTTTAAACAATAATCCCCGATTTCGTAGAAATCATTCATAATGTTTGCACTACTATGGAAAATTAACAAGGCCTTAAAAACTGGCATACATAATTTATTAAAAACATCAAGAGGTAATGTTGGTCAAACTGTTGCTGAAATATTACAAAAGATAAATGTGTTAGATGTAGAATTTGAGGGCAATTTAAGTACCATGTTGGCTCCAATATGGTGCACAAATCAATATTGGTTCCGTGTAAAAGGTAAAGTCAAAGCAATGATTGTTGAGTATGGTTCACCAACACTTTTCCTAACAATAAGTTGTGCTGAATATGATTCAGCTGATATACAATATTTAAGAAAAGTGAATAATGCACCACAATCATATAGTATTTCTAGATTATATACTGAGGATCCTGTTTCAGTATCGCGACAATTTTCATACAAATTTAAGGATTTCTTTAATATAGTCATTCTCCAGAGAGGTGTTCTAGGCAAAGTAGAGCATTATTATGTTAAAAAAGAATATCAAATGCATGGAGCATCTCATTATCACATCTTCCTATGGATTGAAAATGCTGCTGTTGTCGGTATTGATCGTCCAGAAGTCTGTTCTTTCATACAAGATAGGATTTCCTGTCATATACCAGATAGGAATACGTCGCCTGATTTAAATTTTTTGGTAACAAAACACCAAATGCACAAGTGCAGCAAATATTGCAAACAAAATATTAAAGTCGGCAAGACCTATGTATCTAGATGCCGATTTGATTTTCCTAGACCAGTACGAAATAGTATTTGCATCAATGATGTTGAAAATAGCTTGAAATCGTGCAATAAAATATATTATCTCAAACGAAATGAAAAAGAAGTTCGAGTCAACGACTACAATCCTTTACTGTTGAAACTGTGGCATGCTAATATTGACTTGCAATACATAGCAAAGAGGAGTCTTTCCTTAACAGAGTATGTAACTGGATGTCACTAAAGCAGAAAAGAGTCATGCACAGGACTTATGGGATGAAGTCAGCAGCTGTGACAACATATACAGCAGGCTTCGGAAAATTGAACAAAAATTACTTTTAGCTAAAGAAGTAGGACTATATGAAAGTAGGGATCTTCTTGGTAAAAGTTTATACATGAAATCAGTAACCGTACAGTACATTAATGTGTACTTGCCTCATAAGAGGAGCAGAAAAAACAAAAACAATTCATATTTAACTAAAATGGATCAATCTTCTAAAGACATTTTTAATCCTAGCATAATTGAAGACTTTTATGCATTAAGACCAAATAACATCGAAGATGTATCTCTTTACGAATTTGTTTGTAATTACAAATCTGATAAAATAGAAAATGGAGAAAGAGAATACAAACTTTGATCACAGCCAGTCCTTCCAAACCATAGAAAATTTAATCCTATGCAAGAAGCGGAAAGTGACGATATTTATTACTCAATATTATTATTTGTGCCTTTTAGAGACGACAGCACACTTGTAATGGCAGGAGAAACAATGGAAGAAGCTTTTAGGTGTCACTGAGAAGCATCTATACGTGGCATTGAAAATCATTTCAACAAAATACAGAAATTATTAGAAGCTGAACGTAATTGGAAGAAAATGGTCGATGCAAGAAATAAAGCCGGTTTTACTGAAGAACTTCTTGATAACAAGGAAGATGATGAGCCTCAATTACTAGGTGAAATAATGGAAACAGTAGCTGATGTTGCTGACATGGATATAAATGTACCTAATTTAACATTAGAACAAAGAGAGGCAATGCTTAATAAAGAATTTTGATAAAATTAAGAGTCATGTTACGAGTCAAAAAGAACGTGAAGTCTTATTAGAGAATGAGTCTTCAAGACTACTTAAATTAGATAATATCAAACAGCTAAGGATGTTTATTAGTGGTGTAGGTGGATCTGGTAAGTCGTTTTTGATAGAGGCAATAAAATGCCTAGTGGATGACATGTGGTATTGAAAAAGTGGTGAAATTATTTGTGCTATAGTAGCACCAACAGGTATAGCTGTATTTAATGTAGGCGGACTAACAATACATGGATTGTTTCAGCTACCAATAGAGCATGAGGGAAAGACAACTGGATATTGGGCTTTGAATAAAGAAGCTCAGAAAAGAATAAAAATGACACTTAAAAATTTAAAATTATAATAGTAGACGAGGTATCTATGGTATCCAATCTAAATCTAGCATACTTACACATGCGCTTAGAAGATATATTTGGTACTGATGAATGGTTTGGATCTAAAAATATTTTATTTGTAGGTAACCTCTTACAATTGCCACCAGTTAATGGTAGGCCGGTATTTAAAAAAATTAGCAACAAACTAGTAAAAACTAGACTTGGAGCAGCAAATGCAGTTAACACATGGAAAGAAACAGTAGAATATGATGAACTAACAATCAATGAGCGACAAAAAGGAAACGAAACTTTCTTTACGATGCTTGATTCTGTTAGTCATGGCTGTCTGACTGATGAAACTATTGATAGCCTTAAGAGTTGCGTATTTAAGGTTCCAATACAAGAAAAATATAAAGAATTGGAAAGTGAAGGAACAAATCCTCCCATTTGCCTATTTCCTAAGCTAGACACCTGTCAAAAAATCAATGAATTAATGTTAGAAGGTCTAGAAACTAAGACAATAGAATTAGCATGTGTTGATGTTGTTGATGAAAGTGGCAGCACAGCAAAATTTGACAAAAAAACAAGAAAAAAATTAGAGAAACTAAAAGATCAACAAAGCAAAACAGCTGGTTTAGAAACTGTATTGTCTTTAGCAGAAGGCTGTAGGGTAATGCTAAGACGTAATATTGATGTGACTGTAGGATTAGTTAATGGTGCCATTGGTACAGTAATGGGTATTTATGCTACAATTATATCAATCAAATTTGATCATATTGATGTACCTTGTGACAAAGAAAGGGTTATGTCTAGATTTATGCTATCTAAGAATTCGTATATACATAGGAAACAGTTTCCCCTTATACTTATGCTATTACTATACATAATTGTCAGGGCATCTCACTAGATACAGCCATTATTGATTTATCGACTCATGTTTTTGGGGATGGTATGGCATATGTTTCTTTGTCTCGTGTACATACATTAAATGGATTACATTTATTATC